CAGGGTGATCATATAAGAAACATCGCCTTGTATAATTTTCAAATTTATGTGCGATTCTCTTCAGCCTCGATGCAATAGCAGTTTCATGACATGCTTTATGATCTGGCAAAGTAAATCTGTCGCAAAGCAATTCCTTTTCCGACATAAATTATATAGGCCTAGGCCTAAATGCGTCTCAACTATTCTCCTGAGCAATTCAAGCCTTTCCTGATTTCTCATAAATTTAGAAATTGAATGTGCAAATTTGCTTTGTGCATCTTGCTCTCAAGAAGTCCAAGAAGCTTTCAGGGTGAAAATAAAATAAGCCATTAAGTTTGGACATAAAACACAACCAAGCTACATCAGCTACAACTTGTCCTACTTTTAGTTGATGGAGCCGCTACATAAGCTAGTGGTATAACGCGATTATTTGTTGGGAACATTGGAGAAAGAAAAATACTCGAGGTCACCTACTATCATGAAATCTGCAACCCCGAGCCCGACACGTCTCAGCAAGTTTTTTTTCCAAGCTGCTAACTTCCTTTGAGTTTCAAAATGAAACAACCACTGAGTCGCGACAAATGAATGTTTATTCATAAGGTTATGCGTGGCTGATTCGGAATTGCAACCTCCACCTACACAGGGCAGTGTTGTTAACAACCACCGGACGAAAATTCCAACGAATCTCTCTGTGAACAATTTGGCGCACAGATGAAAACAATGAAAAAATATTCCTTTCCAAAAGAATCGAGTGAACCCAAGACAGAATAGAAGGAAGTATAAACTCCTGCACTATAATGTTTCAGTATTTAATTTTAACTTTGTTGTCTGTTATTGTTATTAAAAAGATGAAGTACCCTGTAGGGAGACTTCACATTGACTCGCCAAGTAGACAAACAAAATAGAATGTTTTCTCAGCACACTGTACTCGACCTAATTTAGGACAATGTGAGAGAGCCATTGGGGGCCATTGGGGGCCATGGGGGGGGCATGTGGCCTAGTGGTCAGCGTTTGTAACTCCTGATCATAGGGTCGGGGGTTCGAATCCAGCTGGTGGCAGCATGTTGCGATCTTAAGCAAGTCACTTTACCCCCATGTTTCTCTCTCCACCCAGCAGTAAAATGGGTACCTGTGAGGGGCAGATTTGGTTTAGCCGTGTGCGCTTGATATGGCAGCATCAGCTAGCATATTCTCTGGGAGCTGAGATGGTCTCGGGAATGTTCAGTTGTTGTTGAGCCCGATGTGCAGGGATAATAATGATGCGACTTAAGCACCCAGCAGGGTGGATACGTGCGCAATATAAATCGGAATTATTAGTATTATTCTTCTGATTGGTTTTCCTCGCCAAGTTAACACTTTTCCTGCATAAAACTTTCCCTTGATGCTACACGATATAATAACCGTGAAGTTTTCACTAGTACATGTACTGATGCAGGCTGTTGTGATTATTACCATAGACACAACTGGTATGCTTTGTACGGCAGTTCAGTCAGCACCGCGCATGGCAGACTGCGTGTTTTGTGCGGCAGATTAAAAAAAAACCTGGTGGATTGAATTGAACTTGATGAAACACTGACTTTTCTACTTCTGACAACAGGCTTTCTTCACCGATTCCATTTATAAATGTGACCAATGTGGCAAGTGAGCTAACCGGTGCCTTGTTACTATGTACCGTCATAAACAGACCATCCAGCACGTTGCTATGATTTGCCATTTACAGCGAACTTGTACAAAAAGATGAAACCAAATCCCTGCTACCATTAAACAAATACAAATTAGGTGATGAGTGGACATTTTAAAAGGCGGTGAGACGGCTCGGCAGTTTTCTCAACAAATTACTTCATTGCTTCATGATTGAAATACATGTATTCGCAAATAACATTACCTTTATCCCAATCCGATAAGTGTGTTGGAACTACGCGTGGGCTCGACACGCATTTAGGCCTAATCATTATTTGGTACAAAGTAGTACTAAATAATTTGAGAAATTATATAGAAATCTTAAGGTTACAATCCAGGATCACGTCAACCAAAACAGTACAAAATGGATCACAAGTACCGCCAATCACAGTCACGATCCATCAAGTTCAATATCATGGATAATATAGACGTGTATTCTAGGGGCATTTGTTGTTTTTGACTAGCGATACGAAACTTCAGAAAAAGGAAGCAGCCCGCCTTTATATTTTGCTGCGAATATGTTACATTTACGTATATTACAGGTTGTCAATCACCACGTCCGCGATCCTCGTGTTGCTGGTATGCTTCCCTTCTGCAGCGATGGTAAATTTGTAATTAAAGCGTCTGGCGTTTCAGTGCCTCATGCAGAAAGGTGCAGAAATGATTTCGCAATCATGACAGATGTTGAATCGAGACATACATTGAAAAAAATGATCAGGAATGGATTTTGATATATGGTGGAAAGGTACTTTAAGGACGCTTGCAGAGCTCTATGATACCACAAAGCAACTGTGACCATGCAGCAGATATTGGAGGATTTCCCGCGACCTTTCCCTTGAGATTAATTGGCTATTTTACCGATTCCTAAAATCTGGGCGTTAAATACGCCATTGGCACCGACATACACCAATTTGGGCTTCCAAAACAATACAATTTTACTCTTTGACAAAACAAACCGTTCGAAAAGATCGATGACATGGGCAGAGACAGAGAACATGCATGCCAGGCGGTAAAACGTTTTCCAAGAAATGATGCTTTGTCCTTGAAGATATCCGAAAAAGGGGAAACCCCCTATGCACCCCACCACAAGAATATTGCTTGTCGGCCACACGTTTGCGGTTTTACACAACGGAGTCCATGCACATGTGTGTACTGCAGATGTTAATGTACATTTGGGTACAAACGTATGGCCTTCAAGCTAGGCACTGCTGGCCCCGATTCAAGCTACGCTTATTAGTTTCTGGGAAGCCCCTCTTTTTTCAAACCGTATATAAGAATGGCTTGAGAGTAAAAGTTTACCATGTGCCAGGTTGTGCCGCGCCGAGCTGCAAGCATGTTTGGAATGCAATTTGAGTGCGAAATGATCACCAAGCAAAATATCTACTCATTTGTTTGGAAAAGTTTTTTTTTCTTTGTACTTTGTAGCTACATTTCCTCAGATAATATTCTATTCCACAGTTGGTGCGTATCATACCCGGCCAACGTGCACATTGAGAACACGGCCGCGGCGATAAATATTGAAATCGGGGGGGGGGGGGTTGTCCAAGGTCCAAAAACTGAGCGGTCCGCGAAAAACCCTTAAAATTCACAAACTTATAATTATATAAAAAGAGTGACCTGCTGAGTTCACAAATAATTACGGTTACACTGTATTCTGTAGCTGCATTTACAATGAAATACACTCTCACAAAGACGGGCAATTTTACCTCCCTTTTGAAAATGTATCGTATTCCAGAAGTGCCAACAAGTGGGGTGGGGTAAGATTTCAAATAAAACTTATCCCAATGTTTCATCATTTTCCCCCAGCCTTTAAAAGAAACAAACGAATCTAAAAGTAAACATGAAAGGCCTTTCTCAAAATGCTTAGAGGCGGAAAACAATTCACATGTCTTTTTCAATTTGAAAGACAGTAGGTACAAGGGTCTCAGAACTAAAACTATCGCGCGCTTTAGTGGGGGCTGTTCAACAGCCATATACATGTATGATTGCAAATCACAATTTGATGCCGAGCAAGTAAATGAAACTGAAAAAGTACCGTAAAGATGCGACACTTGTACTTTAGAAAATGAAGTTCCATTTTCAGTGGTTTGATGCAGGTTAAATTTTGCCATTATGAGATGAGTTTAACCATGGAGGTAGAAACCTCCATTGTTTAAATCAAACGTTATACTGTACCGCAAAATTTGAAATACACTATTCAAAAAAGTTAAGGACCACTTTTTTTTTAACTTGTAATTTCAGGATGTGTAATGAAGCAAGAGACTTTATGCAACAACTGAGACAACCACGTGTGACATTGATTAGAGTGTGTTTGAGGTCATTCAGGACAGGTTTATTGGGGTATTGAGCATTCAGTAGTAAAATATCTCGTATAAAACAAATACACAAAATAAAAGTGGCCCTTAACCTTTCTGAGTAGTGTATATTTGTGCGAGTATTAAACCCGGTTTGCAGAATGTTGGAATTTCGATGGCAGTTGATGTGAAGACAGACAGTTTATGTGGAGACATCTACAGGAAGTCGAAAAAGCTACATCAGGAATTTCGTCAAAAATAAAACACAATTGAAAAAAAAATAATTATTTGGTCCACATTAACGGACGTTATTTTTGTTTCGTTTTTAGCTTCTAGGGAAAACACTGTGTACACTGCTACAATACACGTTGGGCAGGGCAAAAAAAATTCAACATTATTTTGATAGGATCTGATTCCCTGACCCGTTTTGCAAAGCCTGTACGATAAAAAAAAAAAGAAAGCGAATATTCAATAACTAGTTCAACTGACATCTCATCCAACCAAGAACAAAACTGGCACAAAGACACGCAGGCACCCCCCTCTTGCTGGGCAGCACACAAAGAGGTCAATGGATACAAAATCCTTGGTTTTCTCCACAATACCTTTTTTTCAGTAAGTTGAGGAAAAACACGGGTAAATTTTAACACCAACAGCTTGCGATGTTGGGATGAGATTAAACATGACTGAACGGCGCATACGTGAATATCTTTTTCACACCATGACTCCACAAGTACATGTACATGTACAGTACTGTATGTACATGTACAGTACATGTACCATGTAAGTGTGACCATAGAGAAACGGCCTGACCCAGTGCAGTGACGTGCACATCGTGCTGTACGTGATGTGAGTAGCTTCAAGATAAACCAATCAGATCACTAAAAAATGATGTCATTTTCAACAGTTCCCCATCACGACCAATCAATGTACACACAAACGTAAATAATTCATAATGTAGGAGTGGCTTCGTTGCACTAGGCCACACACACACACACACACACAGGCATGCTGAGTAGTTGACATCTGACTATACATGTATAATGTGGCTTAGACGTATACACGAGGCAGGGTTTGACTCAGTTTGTCCATGGTTGGTAAAAAGAAGTCAGTGGTATATAAAGGCTAACTACACATAATAATTATTAGAGGTCTATCGCAAGAGTAAGCAGCAGGTCAGTGTTTATGCTCCAGGAACAAGCGCTACCACAACACAAGCTTCTGCGTGATAAACTATTTGTAAGTTTCGTACAATGCTTTTGCTCGTTTGGACTTTACTTCTTCAGCTTTATAGACTTAAATATACGTATAACCGATATTTCCAAACTTTTAATATAAGGATGCTGAATGCCTTCAAGGTTTATGCACATTTATTACTTTCTTGAACATTGTAACTTGATGTTCTTTTAGCGATGATACTTTTGATATTTAGTCTTTGTTTTCATTGCTTATTGAACTATTTCACACCAACAGCAAAGTGCACCGTCGTGCTGCAAGCAAGGGCAGTTGTGAATTTACATATGTGACTCAATGTGTAATGAAAATGTCTGTCAATTGTCTTGTGAAACTTGTGTATGTCCTTGCTTACGAATTATTACCGAAACGTGCTGGTGATACACCGGACGGTTGAATTTCGTCAGCAAGTTCAGTAAAGTTATAACCACGGCCTCCACATCCAACATCTGAACTGGTTCGATTGACAATAGCTGCGAGTTCAATTGTTTCCGAGTACAATAGAAAGACAATTCAGAGTGTTGTTTCGCTTTCGACTCCTTTGAGGTTTAGATATCAGTGGCCAGCGTATGGCAAAAACTTAGCTTTTTTTTTTTTGGCAGATGCACTGATCCGGTGATTTGACTCCAAAAAAGTCCCTGTTTATGTGACTGGGGGAAGCTGGGGGAAGTAATCACAAAATATTTGAATTGGAAAAGGAATTTGTTTTTGTTAATTAGCACGTTCCGTGCACACGGCAACATGATGCACATTTTTGTCCCCCACTGACCGGCGGCTGGAGGAATCTGTACGGGTGAAAAGAATATTACTAATTCAGCGCTAACCTTTACAAATGAAAAAAAAAGTGAACGCATATTGTCCGTCTATCTTCCGTGCCCAAAGCTGTACATCGCTGGCTTTATTACTGGCTGCAAGAAAAGCGGAATCTTAACCTTGGAGACAAAAATCTATAAAGTTTGTGGGATGACTTCCATTTGCAGGTATTGAGACTCGAACAAGTGCAGACGAAAGCGGTGCCAGCAACATGTACAGGATGGGAGAAACATGCACACTAAACCCCCTACAGTTCGGTGGATTCAGCCAGGTAAGATAGGAATATTATCAATGTAAATCTTATCCCTATGTTAACGGCCCTCCCTATTTTAACGGCTAGTGCACAATACCGTCAACTAGATGTTTTTAACAGATTTGAGAGAAGCAATAAAGGGGGAAAAAAGCTTGCTGAAGAATCTCGGCATTGGGTAGGATGTTCAGGAACGACTGAATGCTATGACAATCCCAGGGTAGATTTTCTTGTGTGTCTTTGCTTAATTAACGCGTCGATACATGCAGCTGTTTAACGTCAAACAGCGAGCGTTTAGGAAGCAGCGTAATGCACCAAATCCCCTCTGTTGTAGGGTTGGGTTTTTGGGTATAAGAACAGAGATAAAGAAGGTAAAAAAGATTTCCCCCATTTATTTGTACTGCATTGTACACTTCACCGATTTCTTGTGCAACTGTATATGGGATGAAATGGGTTCCTTCCCAATCATTCCAGCGATAGTCACAAGGGGGAAAGGGGAATAACGTGAACGACCACCTTCAATTCAAAATTGTCACGTGAGCTTTGCGTTTCATCATCACGGAATTGCGCTAGCTCATCTCTGAAAATAAAGGGACTGCGGCTGTCTCCCCATCTCGCTCGCTTTTTCATCAGGTGTCGTGAATTATGACGCTTGCAGGCAGAGAGATTGAGGAAGTCCTAATACAGAAAATAATGTCCCTCGTCCACTTGTTCAAAATTTCAGAGTGGAAAATAGTGTGGGAAATTTGTGAATGAGAACAAAACTAGATGTTGCGGTTTTTAATAGGCAGCTGTGGTTGCAATTAGAGCTTCTGATATTCTGGCAATAAAAAATTAATACACCTGTGACTGCATCAAATAGTAACATAAGCCATGGTTATACTTTCTAACCATTTTAAAAAATATCAAAATGTCAACAGTTAAACAGATGAATGAATTCACACAGCTTTTTACACGATAAAGGCATTTGTATATACTATCATAGAAACCGTCGATCGTGGCGTTTTCACAATATGGCCACCATGTGAGGTGAGGGCTATTAAAAACCGAATCAGTTTGAAAGAGAATTAGTGAAAATCAACCTTTGATTGGGGAAAACGGAAGTGCGGGGAAGGTAATTAAAAGTCGAGCAGTTAGTAAGATCAATCCTTACTCTTGGGTTGATTGGCTCCTGGCCTTGGTAACTGATAGAAAAGCCCCACTGGGCAGAATGGCCGCCACTGCCCCTGCCTAGCAAGTCACGGGCTATTAACAGGGGCTTCCGGGGCGTCACGATTCAGCGATATGCCGCCCGCCACGAAAACAAAACCCACCGCTGCTAGTCACGATAATAATTTGGCTGAGTGCTATATGGTTTGATGATCATTAATACCATGAATTTCGTTCCCGGGATTGGGGTAAAGGTTGCCTTGGGAAGTTTATAGGAGTAAACTCCTGTCCAGAGGGAAATTGCTAATTTACCACTGAAAACATCTCCCAATAACGTTCTCTTCAAAAATGGCCCCAAGCCAGTCATCAGCAATATGGCCAAAATTGCATTTTTATTTCGCTTCTCCTTAAAACATTATGCACAATAAATAAATGAGCCCCACTGAAAATGAAAGAGAAATTAGATCATAGGTAACAAATGTGATGCAACGCAAAATACAATGTTTTTTGTGCGCAAGGTTCTGCTTCTCCAGCTTCCAAGGTCAACAAAACTGGTTGATCGAACGATCGTGCGTTATGTGGTGCGACAAATGTAGTTCGTGGAAACTCGGTGGAGTTAACCACGAGGGGTTTTCCCTTCTGTTCCCCGAGCGGGAGCAGTGGTGGGCGGTACACAGCTGGTCACAATATCAAACAGAAGCGGACCTCGGGGTCAATGACAACTTCCACCCACAGAGGGGACGGGCTGTGATTGGTACGCTCGGTATCAATGACAACCCCTTGGGATTGTGACTGGCAGAACTAGTATAAGTGACGTCATGCACGACGTAGGAAATGGTGCGTGATAGGATAGCTCCATAGCAGGATTAGGCACAAGTACTGTATAGTGTACGTGTACTGTATGCACACAGATGATGTGTACAGTACTGTACATGTATTCCAGCGTGCGGGTTCGCGTGACGTCACTCTTATTACCATGCGCGGTTTACCAAAATCGGATGAATTTCCTACACCGAACCAAACCACACGACCTGCTAAAACCTACAGACGGCGATATCATTAAAATGTACAATGATGTAATGAATAGTGATGTAATGATTATAAATAGAACCACGTCATTCAAACCGAATTGTGACTGATAGAACCATGGAACCTGGGAGATGAACCAAGTCGGCGGTCAACGTCTGCAAGACCATTTCGTCACTCTCGAGTTCTAAGAAACCATTGCACAAGGCCGCGTGACGCTCAAGGTCAAATGTATGAAGCCGGATACTTAACCCAATATCGGTCCAAAATGATTAAAGCAGTATTCGAGAACGTTCGTTTCCTGTGAAATTCAGCTGGCTTTTTTCGAACATTTGTGACACTTGTTTATGACGTGCTAATGTGCGACAAAGCACGCGCGGCAGGCGCGAGGCACCTGTTTGTTCTGGTTTTGATCGAACTAGTCACTGAAAAAAAAATTGCAGGCTACTTGTGAAGTGGGAGCTACCAAGAATTTCCTCGAGAATGTCAACAGTCACTGGGTCAGAAATATTTCCTGTCACTCCAATCGAGATTTTTCGCGAGAAAATACTCAACTGCTATATTGCTAAATACTTTTTGGCATGAAATGAGTATTATCTGATCAGCATAGAACAATTTTGAAGAAACAATTCTTAAAAGATGTTGAACGATCACACGCACCTGGAAGTCACAAGCAAGTCGACACAGACAGCACTTGCGTATTACAATTATTAATCACAAAGATAATACTTTGTCAAACCGAATTTAAAATCGAAAAATTCAGAGGGCCCGTGGTTCCAATTCTATAATCTTCTTCAAAGAGAAACCACTAAGAAACATGAAACAGTTATTCCACAATTTTTGCCACTTCACTTTTTCCAGGAATTGAGGCCAGAAGACCTCAACATGACTGGTGACTTCATCAATTTCGACTTCACCTCAACCCAGTTCAACGATTTCTTCAGCCACAGCCCTGCCCCCGCCGCAGGTGAAGACACAAATGAGATGGAATGCGCCCTCAGCGAGGAGATAATGCCTACCTACGAGCCTAGCATCAAGGTGGAGATGCCAGAGGAATCATCAATGCTGAGTGGTTTGATGGTGCCCCCAGCACAGAGCCAGTACAACGAAGACATGGACCAAGTCCAAGAGTTGATTGTGCGGGATGTCATGGATGACATTGTCACAGCCTGCCAGCTGATTGACATCCCCACAGGTGTGTACATTTACGCTGAAAAGCGTCTGTAGCCTAGCCAGGTCACGATGAAAACACCACAATCCATTTTGGAAAATGTGCCCCTTTCATCAGTACAATTATATAGTTCCTCCAACTCAAGCACACCGTTTGCCAACCCAACATGACCAAATAGTGGCCCAAAGCGTCGGGAACTGATACATGAAATTTATTTCATTGCTATTTTCAAAGCATTACTAAAATGAACACCTTAAGTAAATTAAAACGTTTTGCCAGCTGGCAAAGTTTCAGAAGCAGGGCAAATGATTCAGCTCTAACGTATCTTTTCAAACTCCATGAATACTCAAATGGTTAGTTTGTATATCATGGTTATGGGGGGTTCAGCTAATGACAGATACATGTGTGTCGTAGCGTCAAGGTTATAGGACGATGGGGCACCAAACTTTGATTTTACTAGAAACAGAGAAGGAAGTGACAAACGTGCGGAACATCCGCTCGGAAATAGCAACACCTGACAACTCCCAGACGGGAAGTGGGTGAAAAGTCAGTGGCAGAAATCTGAGCCTCGGATTTGTGTCAATACACAGGTCAATCACTTCTTAGACTGGGTTAATTATGTAGGTAACGAACTGCTCCTCACGAATAAGCTCAAAGTCTCAAAGGAGTAAATAACATGTACGTGCTGGAACCAACATCTGAACGAACAATTGGAGATCTAAAGAACAACTAGGCTGTTTGAATTTAAAGCCACAACAAACCATCGGTGCTCAACTTCTCAACATTCGGAACGTAAAGCTCTGTGAAGTTATTTACAGAAACACTGCATTGCTTGCATTGCATACACGCTCATGAAAAACAAGCTGAAAAACAATTAATATCTAAATAACTGAGCGAAAATTTAATGAACAGTGGGTTGAAATGAAAACCAAGATAACCTTTCAGGTGTTCAGTGGACACATTGTGAGGACATCGGTTTGTTAAAAAAAACTCAAGACTTATTCAGAAACTAGTGGGCTTATAAAGCCCGAGAACACATTTTCTTGTCAATATAGCAATTACACATGAGTGTCAGAGGGTTACGAAGCAAATCTGGCCTAAACTAGTGTTCAAGTTGGCCTAATTTCATAATTCATAGTTTTCCACAAATGAGATTTAGGTGGATTATTTACCTGTTGTTTTTTCCTCTGCAGATCCGTACAGGTGGAACTCTGAGCAGGTTCAAAAGTGGGTCGAATGGACGAGGCATCAGTACCGGCTACCTGAGATCGAAATTGGGTTCTTTACCATGGACGGAATGAGGCTGTGCAGCTTGACTGACGAACAGTTCAGACAGATCCTTCCAAAATCAGGAGACATCCTGTATGCCCATTTGGATATCTGGAAGAACGGTAAGCAGTTTTTATATTATAAAGTTCAGGTTGATTGAGTTAATGGTTGGCACTGTAAATCTTGCTAAACAATAACTAGATACAAAGATAAAATATTACAGAGACCATCTAGAAATACAAATACAAGTAAAGCATTTTGTGGGTAACCTGTTTCTTCAAAAGTGTATTCCTCTTCCCAAGCCACTGTGGTCACCACCTCTTCCATTACGATTTATTGCATCCTAATAAATATGTAATTTCCCTATCTTCACAACAGCTGCTAAAATGAAGATTGCCGAGGAGATCCTTTCCCCGTGTAATCCTGTCAGCCAATTTCCTGTGGATGAGGGCTGCAACTACCTTGACCTAAGTTCACTTGCTGGATATGAGACGTCAAGCTCTGTCTCAAACAGTGATGGTAAGGGGAGATCTGATTGTTACACCTGATCCCTGGGCTTATAATGAATACACGAAATTCCACTCAACCATTATGGTTTAGTTCCCATGGCTTTTCAATTGTTAAAGTGCAAAGAATTCTTAGGGAAAATATCCATCTAAGGTGGACATAAACTGCGACTTAGGTTATTCATAACTGACAGTTAAATTCTAGGATCAAGTGAACAAATGCATCAATACCTACATGAAATCATCTCATGTTTTCAACTGCAAGGTTTTCAACACTACATATCTAATTGTCGCTTCTTATTTTTTTTCCCTTTGCTTCAGATGAGGCTTCAATCCCTTCTCCTGGTCCCAGTGGACCCAACACCTTCATGACCCCCAACCACACCGGTGGAATCCACCTGTGGCAGTTCCTCAAGGAGCTGCTCCTGCAGCCAGATTCCTATGGCTATTGCATCCGGTGGCTGGACCGATCGCAAGGTGGGTCTCTTATTTAGCTCACCGACCGAGCGATCATCTCCAAGGGCTGACTGGAAAGTTGTGCTAAGCCTGCTTATATTTCAAACAAAAATTATGTTTGAACTAGTTGAATAGATTCCCCAGATGCAATCTGACAGACCATTTTCAAACTAAGAAAACCTTTTGACAGTACAGTTGCCCTGTAGGCTTATGAACAGGTCCAGTTGAGTTAGACTTCGTATCACTAGGTGACAGGATAAACAAACTGAGGGGTAACTCTACAAAAGAGTCCTACAAATACAATTTTCACACATGATGCAATTTTGTCCCCCATTAGCAAGCATAAAAGTGCTCACTCTATGAAGTGATTTTTACTAGTGCCTGGTTAATCATACCCCAGTAACTTCAAAAGGAGCTTAAAATAGAACATGACATCAACGGTGCGTTGAAATGTTGTTTACAACCTTCAAACAGGATGTGAAATAGGATACAAATATTTTCCAAGTTTTACTTTAAGGGTGTTCCTAGAAAACATCAAAAGCATCACATACAAACAGGATTTGCACCCTGGAAGAGCTCAGTTGAAAAAAAGTTTTACTTCTTGACAGTAATTGAGAGTGACCAAATACTTCTGAAGTTTCTTTGAGCTAAAACTATAATCTATGTTGTCACCATTTGTTGGTCATTCTGGCTACAACTTAGCATGGAAACAATGTTAAAATTAAAACCAACTGAAATCGCTCAGTTTGGATTTCCAGGGACCATGCAAGATTAATTGCAAATTCAAGTAGAATAGGCAACAAAAGTTTACTTCAGTTAAGATACGACTACACCCGACCTTGTGAGTGATTGATAAGCATGACTGTGAACCCCTCGTCTCTCTGTCTACAGGTATCTTTAAGATCGAAGACTCAGTTGAAGTGGCTCGGCTATGGGGCTTGCGCAAGAACCGGCCAGCCATGAACTATGACAAGCTTAGTCGCTCTATCAGGCAGTACTACAAGAAGGGTATCATGAAGAAGACGGAGGTTGCACAGCGGCTTGTGTACCAGTTTGTGCACCCATGTTAGTACCCCTGTCCATCGGGGTGTTGTGACCCATGCAACAACATATGTCCGTTATATTAACATGATCTCTTTCACTTGATACAATAAAAATGTACAAACAGCTATTTATTTTTTAAATCTAACTTATTCTTTGTAAATACTTTCAACTTGGATCATTTTACAATCTATGCTGCCATGTTGCCTTATATTTCTTCAATATTGTAACGCAATTTTCTGAATGTAATGAACATACTTTTTCTAGAAGTACTACTTTAAATCTAAGAGTATGTTGTACAAAAATTAACTATGCGGACCAAATGTTTTTAAGTTAGAGAAAATTGCTTAAGTTTATACTTCTTTCTGAACTGTATTATGAAGGTTTGGTGTAACTCCACGACAACAAAGATAAGGCAAACAATTTTATTTGTACATTGGAAATTTCCTTTGAATACAGATGAAGGAAACTACACAGGAGACTTATTCAATCCAAAAATCCAGATCCAAAGATGGGCAGGTGATTCTTATTTCCAAGGTGTGAGATACGAAACCTTTAGATCATTCTTATTTGTAAAATGAGCAGAATCTTATCTGCTTAGTGTTTAGTAAGTTTACTAAACTATTTATCTTACTTTTTGTATGTATATACAGTACAAAGGCGGTAGACTTATTTAACAGTTTGTTGAAATTTTTTCAGAAACTGGAAACATGTGTTATGTTTCACAATTGCGCGGCAGTGAGCTGCATTGAGGTATGTTCTATGAACAGCAAAGTCATTTAAATGCATCAGAAATCTTAATGGGGTGAAGCAGTTGTTGCTGGTCGTAGTTTTGATTAAAAAAAAATGACCACCATCAAATGAAACTGCACAAAGCCAGCACAAGATGTGCATTTGAGCAGACGGATATAACCTCTTTTTATAGTTCAAACAGTAAATTGTTTTCCTAGTAAAAAAAACCCATTAGATTATGCATTTGAAGCACTTTGAACTTTTTTCTAATGAATGACGTTTGTTCTGTGTGATGTGTGGACTTGTTTGATTTTTCCATTTTTATGAACTGAAAACTGAGTTTAAATTAGTGATTGTGTTTCAGTACCTTTAGAAGAACCTTTACCAGATGAAAGCAACTCTCATTGCATAAATACAATTTATATTTTTTTGCGACATATAATTGCATTAATTGATTTTGCCTGTCTAATCAGATGCTTCTGTATGCGCCATAATGTTTTTATATTGAAATTGAACGGAAACGAAAATAAAATTATATTTAAATTACATAGATTGCCAAATGACTTGCCGATTTATTGGTATTATGTCTGTTTGATGGCTATTTGTGTTTGTTCAGAGGAAATGAGATTAACTCAACCAATGAATAGTCTTTCCTTTAAACGAATGACTGCATTGACTTTGACTTTTGAGGTCTCTGTTATCTCAACGGCCCATTGTTCCAGGCTTCATGTCATTCGGCAAAGCCGAATCGATCCGATCTAGTACTGATCCATGCTCTGACAACCTATAAATTTCAATCATGCTGAATTAGGCTAAGTCCAAATATGTCACACAACGGCGTCAGACATTAACGAGCTGAAAAGACTTCACACCTCTATGGAGCTCAGACTTTGACAAGTTAAGCCGGAAATCAAGCTACTGCATGAGAAATTACATCTCTAGCACCTATTTTCACTCGACCGAATCTGAACACCAAGAACCTTGTACAGTCATATTATTTCATACGTGCTTGCTGAACAGATAATAAATTTAAAACCGGTTGAGAAGTTTAAGGGATCCAGGAAGAATTACATCCACCGTACATCCTGCAACCTGTCCAGAGGAAAAACAGGTAGTTTTTGCTTGGTCAAAATTTACAAGCTCCTATTTCTTAGATTAAGTTCTTAAACTGGTGATGAAGAAGTCTTCGCATTTCCTTCAAAAATACCGGGGTTCAATGGAAACATGGCCTCAGGCAACACTGAGGGGTGTCAGTTTTTACAACTTTCCTGCCAGAGGACGGCAGTTTGACAGAACAGATATTGCAATTAATCCTAGGGTAAACCCTGATTAAGCATTATATTAGCATTCGACACGACAAAACCCTGCATTCTGTAGAAGTAAATAAAGTATATTTAACGAAATGTTATCTTTTACTCATGGAAGCTACGCTGGAGAACAATGTCAAATAGAGAATCATCCCACAAAAGTTGGTGACAAAATAGTAAATTGGATGATTTTAGGACAGTGTTCTTAGGAGGTCAACTCCCCCTCCCCTTCAAAACGGGAACAACGGCGGGAAGGGGGGGAGAACGTCACCCCTGGCAACACGGTGCTTTTTTTTTAAGGAAGAGAAAGCAGGAACACTTAATCCTACCCTCCACGTTCGGGCTACAGATCCTCAGCCCAGTGGTTGTCAAAATGAGTTTAACTTATAGTAATGCCTTCAATTCCTTGTGTGAGCTGTTCTGAAACTGAGCCAGGCCGTTTCTGCATTTTGTTGATTCATCCACTTTTGACCGTAGTGTACACAACTCCCTTTAAATTTCTAAAGTTGTGTGCGTCATTAAATTTGTCTAGTCATTCAGACAGTTATCAAAAAATAATGACTAAGTACTTTGGGTAAACAACATCGTTGCATGATGATTCATTGCAAAACATTCTGCTTACAGTGAAAAACTTGTTTGCATAAATGAAGTTTTTCAAGCTAGGTCATGAGTGACTAATTTCACAGCAGCTTGTTAAAACACAAACACATAAGAAAACAAAAACGCAAACAAAATAAAAATCCACCCTGAGCAGAAGTACATCCCCAATCGACGAAAGAAAGACGCGTGGTTAAAAGCTGGTTCTTGCACGCGTTCTGCATGTACGCAAAGACCATACAAGGCGGAATAAATTAGTTACGTGTACTCAGCGTGCTCCGCGTCAAACCTGCATACTTGCGCGCCTCATGGCGCAGCTATTGGATTCCGGAGTGTGACGTCACTGTGAACCCGAAAGTGCAGTGCAAATGAATGGAGAACGCGCGCGTGTTGGTTCTCGCGCTAATGCCTTCTACACACTTATTGTGCGCGTGACGTATTCACTTCGGTACTACTCTATGCGGTGAGTCTCAAAAAAATCACGCCCTCTATTGTTACGCTTGGAGAGGATAGGCCAAGAGCTGTGGGTGAGGCAGGCATATGCACATTTCAGAATGAGGTGAGGTTATTGAGTAAATGGCTGAGAAGACATGTTACAATAGAACTGACATTTAGAGCAGTAAACTCAGGCATTCCTGTTTTGGTTCCATGCAAGACACCTGCTATCACAGTTGGATTTTTTCAGTGTTGCAGAAACTTGTAGACCATCACAAGACCATGTACGATATACGACCAGTACAAGACCAACACACAGACCCCTAGTGGGAATTCATATCTCAAGCTATTCAAATAAACTGCAACAAAAGCATTCCTTTGTCAATGTTCAGCCCTTAGTGATGGACATATGAAGTAAACGAGCTATTGGACACAGAGCAACTCCCACCTTTGTGTTGGTTATTGTTATACTGGTATCTCAGGAATTCTTTTCAGACATTGGGGGGATGTGTTAAGTGACAATAGGCTGGAGTGTGTAGAGGGATTGGACTTGTTGGGGGAACCCCTCTGTCCAATTTCGTGCCAGGTATAGTGATTGGTCTTGTGATGGTCTCATCTATAACACTGGTCTTTGTATTGTACAAAATGCTTCAAACTGACATATTCCATGATATGCAGGAATTAGGATTATGGGCAAATTCACAGGATGTTCAGTTTACAAGTCGAAATACTTAATAATTTTAAATTCGATTGGGGCGGGGGGCATCAATATCCATAGTGCAATGCTGTTTAAGCTAGCTGGGGTATCAGTCATGAGAGAAAGCACAGTAATGTGATCTTGTGAAAATCTCCTGTGTGGGTGGCAATGTGTGGGCTGATACACCCTGATTCAATAACATGATTTTGTGTATATAATCAAATGGGGTTTTCCCTCGAGAGGAAAATGTGTTTGAAATTTCAATGACAAGACAACAGGACTTGTTTTCCGAGAGTTATCATGTGCTAGTAGGTTGGATCCTACAACCCAGGGAGGCCTACGGATCCTGAATCATGGAGGGGGGCAGGGAGGTGGAAGGGTAGGCCAAACTTGTTTTTTCAGGGAGGGGCAAAAATTTTTACAATTTATATGAAACCTTTAATGACCTTTCTGAGAGGTGCAATCGAGGCTACATTTGGGGGGATTTTTCCATGCTGTTTGGAAGGAAACTTAACTAGACCAAAATAATTGCCTTTCTCTCATTAAATTTCTTTTCTCTCTTCTGATAGGTAAATGACAGCTGTAAATCAACACAGTCGGGCTAACAAAACAAAACAAAAATCAGGTCAACCCTTGTCCCTCATGAGGAAGCCTCGATATCATTAGGGAAATCCCCAGAAGGTGGACAAAAATCCAAGGAAGGAAGTTATTTCACCCCCGGAAACGCATTACTTTAAGACCCAAGCAGAAGATCAAGGAAAAGTAGTCAAATCAAAACAAAACACCATCATGAAAAGTTGTGATATTTGTTAGCATTACTATCAATTCCAATAGTAACGATTTAAATGTCGAATCTGCTTAGTGCCAAAATTTCCTCATCCTTTCTTTAAAATGATCTCACATCAACTGAATCTTACATCGTTACAATGGAACTTTTGTCTTGCAACCGATTCGGGTACTCTCAGCAAATGTGCGTACCCTGACCAAGGATTTTTAAGTATAACAAGTGAAATGCAGTCATGTACACAAAGAAACAGTGGGTATGGGCCGAAAACCAATTGAACATATTGTGGACTAGACAAGCAAGCACACAGAAAAGAAAATAACTCTTCACATGAAGCTTCCTGACTCCAGGACATGACAACTGGCAATTATCTGGAGTTCATTTTGCAGTCATCCACAACAAGAGGGAAATAGGAAGTGGTTTGAAAACCTAAACCAAATTTCGGTTTTGAGAGGAAAGAGCTAAGTGGACGGTTCTTACAGTGGGATACAGTTCTGACAGCCAAGCCAGGATTACATTTCATGAGAGCATTCCAGCGGGCAGCAAGGAAGTCCTTGTTACTAGACAAAAGTCATTAGCACATGTACCAATTAAGGATGTGAGCCGGTGCATTAGTGACGGGGACACAGCTTGGGTTTGGCAATGATTTTTAAACAATAAAGTTTCAATCAATGAAATGAATTACCACAAAAATATTCCGACAGACGTACTGATGCAGGAAAAAAGACTCCCAACACCGGGGAAGAGCAAGAACTGAGGGCATGCTTGTGCTTTGCAAATTAACCCCCCCCCTCTCCTTCACAGAACAAGATTCAAAAAAAGAGGGTGAGAAGTCTTCCTCAATCATCCTCAATCACAGATCTCGACAATACATGGATGTTAGAAAATGACTATTACTTTTAGGACATGGGCCCTCCATCAAAGTGGTGAAGGAACAATTGACCGAGGCTTAGTTGAATTACAATTAGAATACCTGAGTGTGTATATCAGTCACAGCTTTCCACACACACACTGGAACTACATGTACATGATGAATTTGGGTTTACAACTTGCCAACAGGCCAAGCCTAAAAAGATTACAGGAGGCACAGATGGAAAGCGAGCTAAGATTAAGTGCTATTTATCACTGGCCCCTTTGTCTCTGTGCAATAGCGTAGAATTCCTCAGGAACTGGGGCACGTCCCCCAACGTGATAAACAGGAAAACATCAAATGAAGTATTAATAAGTAAAACTACAAAATGTGACACGTTTCACACCGTAGTCTGTGCAGGTTACTTTCTTGACAATGGACAGTTTGGGTTAATCATCAAACCCACTGTGACCCAGTTGATCCACACGAGTCGTCACCATAACTGTTACCGGGATTATCCAAATCGAGCTTAAGTGCACCCCCAATCGGTGAAAGAAGACAAGTGGTTACAAGCTGGTTCTTGCATGCATGCTGCACTCGCAGTACCGTACAAGCCGGAATAAATTAGTTACGCGTACTCAGCGTGCTCCGCGTCAAACGTGCATATACTTGCGCGCCTAATGGCTCGCCTATACAGTGAGTACCAAAAAACATGCCCTCTTTTGTTCCGCTTGGAGCGGATTAACCATCCATCTAGGGATTTTTGTGAGATCATTTACGCCGGGTCACTCACCTGGTGATTCTGTGAGATGAGGTATGCTCTTCTAGAAGAACATTGTCTGCAGCGACTTTCGGACATTGGCCATTTCTTGATTTTGCTTCAAAAAGACAGGAAAATATTCACCAAAGTTAAAATGTCACTGTCGGGACACTGTAATTCACCAAGGTCGTCTTATTCCTTTTTTATAGGTCCATGGTCTTATGCATGTGCGCACAGACTCCCAAAATATCGTTCATCATTTAAGTATTATTCATTTAGATAATCAGCAACCAGCAAAATGGTATGAGCAAATGTAAAAAAAAATCAGGATTTATTTCAAAAAGAAAGAAAGACAGAAAGAGTGATCTTATAGACAAAGTTCACCTTGCTCTAGGGTGCAACTGGGAAGCAAAACTAGCTGTCACAAACTTCACATTTAATGTTTAAAATCACAAGAGGGCAGTATTTACAATCTGTGTACCAGAAATCAAACTTTGCCTTCACACTGTAGAGGGCACTGTTACATTTGTCTGGTCAGATCAGAGCTGTATGCAGAGTGCCATCAGCTTCAGACTTAGGAAACCAAAATGGCTGTTCACATTATTGTCACAGTATTGCGTGTGACTGTTTTCCTTCCTCCATGCTGCAATCGTGGTGCAATACTTTAATTATCCATGTACACTGATGCGAATCCACCATTCTGATTCCAAAAATTGAGACATTTCACGTCTCTCTCTACATGTCATGACACGTGTAACAGCTCCATGCTCTGTGTATCGTATTGGCATAATCTGGATGATATTGGTACTCTTTTGAAGCAGAACTCTTTAAATTGTGAGGCAAAGCCACTGCACCGATAGCCCTAATTGTTTGGAATCACTACATGTAGGCATCATCAGGTATCAGTTTGAAGTTATGGATGATCTGTAATGGCAGGAGAGTAAGGCTTCAGTTCAGGTACGTTTTGTCATTGGCAGTGAAGTGTCACTACTTTTGCCCCTCGAGCTAAGGTACGGTGCTCCTTGTTTTGCCTCTACTGTCTCAAAGCTCAGACAGGTGAAGCCAGGAGCCTCAGATTAAACTTCCAGGGGTAGATCAGATAGCATTGGAACTTAGCTTGAGTAACTCCATCCAAAATGACAATGGGGAACTTGCAATATGGGCGATTCACAATAGTGCGCCACCAAGAGCTTGCAACACGTTGGCCAATCATAACGCGCGAAATTTGTCGACCCTCTCCAAACGCGCATTGGGTCGACAAATTTCGTACACTGTGATTGGCCAACCCGTTGCAAACTCTTGGTGGCGCACTATTGTGAAACGGCCGTATTGCCAATGTCAAGAGTTACTCAGGCGTAGCAAACTCCCTTATGTGCTTACATACCCAGCAAGATTTGGAACGGAGGGGTACCCCCCCTCCACAGGTCCAAACCCTATAGATAGATACTCTAGACTATTGTTACCTAACACACACCCTCCTTAGATTTTTCATTTAAAAGAATTCCTGAGATTCTGGTCACACAATGACAAACACAAAAGGAGAGGGGGGTTCTCTCCATCCCGTATCTTGCTTCAAATGTGCTACCTTCAGTGCCAATGGATAGATAATGATGCCCTGCTGTAACTTAATGCCATGGGAACACACTCAAACATCCATGGGCCAACTGACCCGTCCATCTAATGTGTTCGCAAGTGAACCCAGCAAGATATGAGACCGAGGGGTACCCCCCCAAC